TGGATACTACAGAAAAGCATCTGACTCCTACAACAATAGTCAGAAATAATTATCCAGCTAGGGAGCATCCCAACTGCAGCCAGACTTCTCAAACGTATTGTGTGGGTGCATGCTGCCACAGCCCCAGCACTGCTATTAGTCCACCTGCGCAACCAAGTCACACGCTACCAAAAGCCTGTCTGTCCTAGAACTGCAAAGTTCAGGTTTCTGAGTCCAAACTCATCCTGGTGAACTTTAAAACCCTGAGGAGAGATGAGAGGTCATCACAGGTAGCATCTTAGTAATAGAAAACATAATCCCATACACTCTTTGTCTTGTTAATGTTTCTAGGTTGGTTCTAACAGTGGTACCTCAGCGACTGAGGAGTCCCAGCAAGTACATGATGTGAGCAAACTCATAGCCCCTACCCACTTCTGGCTTGGAAAAGCATGGCAGGCTAGAGTGAAGAGGCTTTCCTGATGGAAATTTACTCAGCAAAATGGAACTATCTGGTAAAGAAAGCCAGTTGGTGCAGAAGTCAAGACAGGTTAAGAGGTCAGCCAATACCAACCCTACAGCGTGCTAACTGTGTTTTGAGATCTATCTGCACCACAGTTCAGCAGCATTTTTTCTTCAGTTTGCCACAAAAAAAGAAAACAACTGGAAATTCCAGCTCAGTCAGAATTAAGCTGATGAAGAGACTGAGGAAGGCTGCTTGGGCTAGGTTACTTTGAAGTCTTCCTCCTGTTGTGATAATCACCACTAAACCTTCACAGGTGTCAAAGACTGAAAACCACTGGCTAAGCAGGACCACTATCTCCCCTTCTCCGCAAAGGAAGCAGCAGTAGGCTAAAAATTGATTTGGTACGTGATCCTCATCCACACAAGACATGTTCAAAGAAAGGGAACCATCTGAACAAGGAACAAGACTGGGAGGCTACTTGTAGAGACATTGCTGGCTGAAAAATGTTCTTAAGGACAGAAACAAAGCTGGATCTGTACTAGCAATTTATGACCAAGACCAGAAGGTAAATGCAAAATAAGCTGTGAGGAAAGCCATGTCAGGGAGGAAATGCTGGCAGGGTGCTGCTCTTAGCTGGGCAGCGCAGGTTGTGCTCCCTCTTATACACAAGATAAGGCTCAGAAGGCTATAATCTAATCCTACCGCGAAGGCTAGAAATTCTCAACTCAAATAGCAAGCTGGCAGTCCTCCCCATCTACAGGCAGACTGTTACTCCAGGAAAGAACCATAAATTCCCATAACCACTACGTTTAACGACATCTTTCAGTTTCACTGCAAAAAAAGAACGGATAAACTGGGCAGAGGTCTATTACAGCATGTTTCATGAAGCAGGCTGTATTACTGCTTTGAAGGAAAAAAAAAATGGAGTTTACACTCCAAATGGTATGGAGTACATTGGACCTAACTCTCCAGCCACTTAACAATTTCCACATTCAGATGACACACTTCCACCTTTTTTCTTTAAGCTGGAATTTAGTTGGAATTACAGTGATGAGACTACAAGTAAAGGCTTCAGTGCTAAATTCCAGTGAAGAAGTCAGAGATGTAGTCACTTCTTTACAGCCCCAAATTAGGCAAACTAGATCCTCAAGGACATTAAGATAATGACTGTATGGTGATGTGTCCTGACAAATTGTCATCTTCTCCCAAAGAGTAAATTTCTGCTTTTAAATATCAAGTTGTAATGCTGCTAGCAGCCTTTGAAATTAACAAGTTAAAAAAGTCATATGATACTTTACTTCATTGACTCCACCCAACATTTCAATTTTGAATATCGACTGAGCTCTCTTCTTCCAGAGGAGAAAAAGCTCGGGGAATCCACTCACCTGAATGTATACTAAAGGCACAAAGTGAGCTACATAGTCCTACCTACCTACCTGTAAAATCGAACACTAGCTCTGCTAAAACATTCTTCCAGATGTTGCCAAAGCCCGTTTTCATGAGTACAGTACAATCATCTGTTATCAAAGATCAACATCCTCTTTACCTGAGCCCACTTTTTGTTTCTACTTTGCATCTGAATGGCAGCAATAGATGTGAAGAATTCTTCCGAAGGCAAGTCCTCTGGTAGCTTTGTTAAAAACTGGGCTATATGAATGAAGTCCATTTTGGTCAAAATATCTTCAAAAAGTTTTAATATTCCCAGGGCTGTACGGAATAAGAACTCTTCTCCATCACGGCAGAACACATCCCAGACACGACATGCCAAGTCTAGTGGCAAAGATTTGCTGTACAATGTGAATATCCTGAAAAACAGAGTAAAATTTTCAGTTACTGCACAAGAAAAATGTCTTGGATATTCACAGAAGTACACAGAATGATTATTTGTTAAGTTTGAGGCTTCTCAAATATTTGTATCTGAATACTTTTTTATTTCGAAAGTACTTCTATTAGTTGCTGCATAGCAATACATGAAACAACATAAAATCGTACAAGAGTTAAGGCATCTTGCTATCAATCTGGGTTCAATATTCTTGGGTCACACCAGAAGAAACAATTACATGGTTTTGGATGGATGGACATGTGCTGGCCACAGGTATAAACAAAGACATACTCAATCATCATTTCAGAATTGAGGGCTAATGCAGTTTTAGCTGTGAGAACACAAAAAGCTGAATCTTAAGACATACTGCAAAGGGAATTTTGTGGATCAGATGAAGGAGATGTGTAAAATTAACACTGTGTTCCAGGCCTGACTGACTGGCAAAGTAATAATAGCACAAGTTTTGGAGGAAAGATCAGTTTAAACTCTACTGAGTTGAGAGAAACACGCAAGATGTCCAGACAGCACACATAGATAGCTGTGATAAGATGGTGGCTCAGCATGCTTGAATGGATGCAATTGCCAAAGAGTAAAGGTAACAGCAGAAACAAGAACCTCCTCCCAGTTGCTAAAACTGCATTTTCCTTAACTGCCAAGAGCACATTTGTTCCTTCATCAAAATGCTGACAGCCTTGCAGCCAGGAACGCTAAGATGCTCCCTACTCCCTCCTCTATCCAACACTTCGCTACAACGCAGAGCAGTTTTCATTCATAGAAACATAGAATCATTAAGGTTGGAAGAGACCTCTAAGATCATCGGGTCCAACCGTCAACCCAACACCACCATGCCCACTAAACCATGTCCCTAAGCGCCTCATCTACACGTCTTTTAAATGCCTCCAGGGATGG